CTTGTGGAGTATTCCACTGGACTATTACTGTTTGAGTTTTTGGTATTATTGTGGTGGTAGCAGTTTGGTATGATACTCCACCTGCACTGCTCATGTCAGCTTGTTTTATTGCATTTTTATCTTCAACCAAATGCGCTAATTCCATAATTATGTAATCTTGCGGTCTCAACAAATGAAGCGATGCTCAAATCTTTGACGTCAATCCTTTCATGAAGTTATCTTCCAACACTTCTTATAATATCCCTCTTAAACGGTTAGATAGAATCTCAAATTTCTTACTATACTCCATGACAAATCCTTTCTGGAGCAATGCAAAAAATTGCTTGCGTAAATCCCATTCCTGTGGGGTTCTAAAGCGCTCTAACAAGCAGTTCTTACATTCTTCTCATATTAAGATTATTTGACATTCCCTTCATTGATAATATGCAAGAGTCTTTCCTTCCAAACACAGAGCCGCCATCAATTTTTCCTTCTCTGTCAACCCATTAACAGCAAATTATCCCTCCAAGCAATAGACCCAACCACATAAATCCTCTTTTTCAAAGATCGACATCTTCAACTTCTGTGTATAGAAGCCTCTCAAGTATCGATGTTCATTCCACCAATGAAATGGGGATGGGGTTCCCTTCCTCGAACCATATTGATTTCTCTTCTCACATAAGTCTGAAGCTCCACATAATCAGCTCTCCCGACCCCATACGCTCCAGAATCATCTTCTGCACGGATGACTGCTACAACAAAAGGCACTAATGGGATTGAATGCAGCCCTTTGCCTAGTTTTCATCCACCATGTTTCCCTGTTTGGGTCAAAATCCTTCAAATTGATATTCTCCTGCACAAAATTGTTCGTCGTCCCATTCTACTGGTTGCCTCTCGTTCCAACCATCTGGTTGACATGTTGATCCTTCCAATTGTTTATGCTTGAGTTCACTTTCATTTCCTTCACCCAATCTCAAAGCTCCAAATCCACCTTAGGTAATGATTTTGACAAACATTTTCTGCTAGTTTCCCTTTGCAGGCGGTGGAGAGTTTGTGTGGGGCTCCGTAATCTTCTTTATCATTTCTTCTTAGGTTAAATACCTCCCTTTTATGTTTGAGAAATGCTCCTCCATTCAATATCTGATTGGACAAACATTTTCTACAAATTTCCTCCAAGTACTCAACAGTTTTGAAAATCCCTTATGTCGCAATTCCATCTACCTCAACTATTTCGATTTTGAGGAACTCTACACAAGATTCATTGCGTAACTCCTGCACGCTATGCGAGACATTATGATACTGGAATCCTTGTCTGCGGATTCAGAGTGGGCATCGTGTGGAACACAAGAAAAGCACGAAATTCCTGTATCCAGGTTTTCCCATAACTTATGCACGCCGTGCAGGACTCCGGACGCGATGACCCAAGAATCCCTGTACATGGGTTGGAAGTAAATCTCAAAACATCATGAAGAACTCCAAGAAGATTTCATCCAAAATTCTTGTACGTGATTCAGCGGGGAACACTGGATGCCAAGATCCTTTGCTGGCCTCCGCTGCCTGTACGATGCAATTTGTGAGCCATAATCTAAGTGAAGCCACAATTTTTCCGTCCCCTTCCCGACGAGCAACACTGCAATCATGTTGTCCCCTTCCCAGCAAGCGACACTGTAATCCCATCATCCCTTTCCCAGCAAGCTCTAATCGTGACTGTATCGCACAACCAAGTCACAAAGCGATGTGCAATTAGGTCTTCCCAGTGTCGTATGTCATGGTGCCTTTGTTTGACCTCCCCAATTGCTCGGATCGTGCCTGCTTCAGGCAGCTAAGTAAAGAACGAAAGGCTGCAGGATCTCGTAATTGATTCCCAAAATCAATTTCTCTAATAACAATGAAAAGACTCTCCTTAAAAACTAGGGCAAAACAAATATTTTGTGCCACTAAAACAAATAATACAACCATGAACATATATAAGATAGGATAAAAACCTACAATTCTAGAGGTAGGTGATCTCCAAATTATCAAAATTTGAGAGAAAGCAAATCTCTCCCCAACCCTAAAGCTAAGTCACAACATTAATCTCATGCATGAAAAGCAAATCTCTCCCCAACCCTAAAGCTAAGTCACAGCATTAATCTCATGCATGAATCTAACCCTAAACATATTAGCCCTATTTATACTAAACAATAATAAATGACAAATGACACCCTTAGGCTTCATCATAACATTGTCACTCCACGCCTTTCTTTTGGCCTGAGAGCCCGACCATCATATTTCTTATAGATAACATGTATCGTGCAGCTAGCAAATTGTCAAGCTTTGGATATCTGAGTATGGAGTTTGGTTCATCAATACGTGCTTTCAATTCTCCCCTTACTTCAATAATAGAATCCCTAATTTTAAGAAAGGCTTCATTCATAGTAATGATTCCCAAAACTTTGAAATCAGAGTTAACATCTTGAAAAAAATCAAACACATGCTCATTTCAAAGCCTTTTTCTGTGTTTTCTTGCATCCTCTAAAAACCACATTCAACTTCAAGGAATAGACCCTTATCATGCCAAAATTCAAAACAGTTATAACTTTAGTGAATGTGTTTTCACCTTATCAGTTATTTCATTTCTAAACCAGAGTGGATTTCTTCGACAATGTCCAAAATTTCTTTTGCAGTTATGTAGCAGAGATAGGTTATTCCAATCTTAGACCCCTTAAAACATATGAGCCAAGCCAGGATTAAGGAATTCAAAGCTTCCCATGAATTACAAGTGACACATCTTTGAATGATTTTATTAAGATACTTGTCAGATATCCGACCATCCCACTTCCTCTTGTCATAAGAATAGCTGGCTAAAACCATTAACAAAAATTAATTCCAATAAACATGAATTAAGTTATTTGGAAATATTGACCTTCATCTATGGGATGGAAATTTTATCCATGAAATGCTAGCGAAGGTCATGCTTTTTGTGGAGAAGGTTCCTCAGTGGTTGACCCTTCCTTGAGAACCATGATTACCACTGAACTTTGGATTATCACTCAGAACTTAATTTTAATGCCATAAACATGATATAATTTCTGAAAGAAGATAAATTTACGTCATTTATACTAAATTACTAGGTGAATCTTCACATCTATATCTAAAACTGTACAAGGATAATGTGTTGCTTTTTCCAGGTATGTTAGACCACTACATGGCAGGAATAAATGCAGAGAACATGAAATGATTACAACAGCATATAGATGGAAGAATTAATATTAGAATGGAAAAAATCAAGGAACACCAGCCACGAAAGTTCACTGTTGTAGGTTGTAATGTCAGACATTCGATAAAGGGTTCTGAACAAAACCGGATCGTTGATTTATGCAAAAACTGCCAAACTACATACCAAATTAAACCAAAGCTTGATCTTTTTAACTCTTAAGTTTGTAATAAGATTCGCAGCAAAACTTGTAACATCATCAAAGTTTATGATTGCAACACACGGACAACAATTGTCATAAGAAGTATCTACCAGATAAAGTATAGGGAAACAGTGGGTTTTTTCTTGAAATATCTGCATTTGCATCACCAAATCAAAAAATTACAAAATGTGCATGTATGCCTCCTATCATATACAAAAGTGTGACCTATCATCCATAAAAATATAGAAGAAAGAGTACTATGATAATCTACATGCTTTAAAACAAAAGAACTATCAAGAGCAAGCACAGACACAATGGGCTTTTTAATACTAATATACATAGAAAATCATGTAATAAACCCAAATGCTTGGTTAAGTGGATAGAAAATTAATTTCAACTTGGAAGGTTTCTAAAACCTCTAAACCAGCCTGTCCCCTTGGTCATGTCCCAACATACAAATTCATTCGTTTAAATAACATAACTCTACAAGAAAAGCTCTTTAGCTATGGTTTCCTAATCATATGAACCACCATAAGAAGGCACAGAGAATAAAAATCATTATAAAATCTGGAAATTAAAGCGAGAAAGAACCACGAAAAATATTATTGATGCCAATGTTCTTGGTTCACGATTTCTCTTTACCTATATCTGTGTCAAAAGAATATTAGTAAAATGAATTGTTTTGACATGCAATACTCACTTTCAATAGAATGTGATCCTCTTATGTCACCAATAACTCCTACATTTTTTGGGTTCACTAAGGGTTATGTTCAGCTTAATGCATTAAAGAAAACAATCAACTAAGGATTCTGAAATTGTAGTTATATAATACAAATAAGTGTAACATGCAAGGTACTATAAATATATAGATAATGAAACTATACTAGCTCTAACAAACAATATTACAAAGAAAATAATTGGTAATTCAGCAAATGAAGAACACTATTGTTCACATAACAAAGACCATGTCGTATTTTACAGCTCCTAAAATTACCAAATTAAAGGGATGTAACACAAGATAATTTGTGCATTTGTACGGAACTAGAAGCCATGTCATTGCATTTGAATTTATAAATTTAGCGCTATAAATATCAAGATTTGGTAATTATTTAAACTACTAATCAGACAAAAAAAAAACATAGGAGATGAAAGTTACAACAACTTCTGAGATAAGAAAAACTGTAAATACACCGTGAAACTCATTATAAACACAAACAAATTTTACCGTATTGGAGACAATCATACAAAAAACGACCTAAAGATAAGTCTCTAAATTATTATCTTTATCATTTAAGATGGCTCAAAAATGACTGCTGACCAAAAAAACAATTCTATTAAAAGCTCTAAAAGAATTCCAGATTGAACTCAGTTAAGTAAAAACTCTTTAACTTGATATCTAAGTTTACAAAAAAAAAATAATAAATAAAAATTATAGGCCTTAAATTTTTGGAAACCTACAGCAAGTGCAAAGTACAGTAGCAGTGGAAAACTAGTAATACATAGTAAAATTGAAAAAAAAAAATCATAGGATTTTTATGTAAATTCATTGGGATTCCTGCAAATTATGTAAGATAAGATATGCATCAATTTATTTATTTTATATAAACAAAACATGCATGCGCTGTATGTGCAAGTAACAAATGTCATGGATGAACCCGTAAAAGAAGAATCCATCCGAGTATACATTAGAAAATACAAGTCATAGTGCTTTCTTTTTCCTTCAAAAGGATTGTAGCCAAAGAGAAAGACACTAAGCACAGTATGCTTTAAGCAACCTCTCATACATAAAGCAGAGGCCTTTACATGAAAAAAAAGATGTGTTAGAGATAAATGAACCTTTGCAAATGTGTTCGCAAGATCATCACCAGATAACGAGCATAAGTCATCACCCTGCCAAAAAACATCACAGCCAGTGTTCAAGCTGTCAGTATTCAGATTAAAGTACATATTTTACAGTGAAGTTATATGAAAATTCAAACGAACACTTAAAATTTAGAAAAATTGATAATAACTCATAAAAAAAGCATAAATAACAGCACAAATATAATCCCAACTATTTTTTTTTAAATCACTCAACAGAAATAGAAATGCAGTAAATAGATCTTGGCAAATTTGAAATAGATCATGCCCCAACTTCATACTTTTAGGCATTACACCACAGAAATTTGTCCTGCATCCACCATAAGAAAAAAATAAATTATATATATATATATATAATCCATGTTCACAATAAAATTATGTTATTTAGTCTTCTTAAATTTTGAGATTATCTAAAGAATATTCCTTAAAATAAGGATAACCACCTAAAATATCCAAGATGAAGTTTAAAACCTCCTTGTAGATGTCTACAAGTTTAAAGGACTAGTTTTATAAGTTATACTAAACTATCTCTTATTGAAAACAATTCTCATAGACTCTGTTTGGGGCAGTTGTAGTTTATCAATAATCTGTTAACAAGCAGCTGATCCAGATAAGCTGATCCCGATAAGCTGACTGGTTGTTTGGTTTGTGCATTTGGAAAAAAAATGATTTGCAGTTGTTTCTGGATAAATGATCATTCTGCCCCTATACAGTAGTATTGTTTGCAACAGAACTGTCATAGTGATACATTTCATACTTGAGAAGCAAAAAATAATTTCAGAACAGTAGAAAAAATAAGATACATACCACACATAGCAGTGAATGTCGAGTGTACTTAAAAAAGAAAAATTATTAAATTTACAATAAAAAAATATGATAATATTAATTTTAAAATTCAGCCAGCGTATGTCACGAGCTACGTCGTCCTCCAGGGATGTCACCCAATCCCGATCACTATCGGCAGCCACCAACCCCGAACAAAAATCATAACACCTTCATTATTTTTTTCCACCATACAAGATTTTAGCAATAAACCAGTCATAAGACAAACACCAACTAGGCAGAAACCACCCCCCATCATAGCTCCATCATAACCCCCAAATAGCCACAACCCAGTTCCAACATAATCGCCAATCAGGCAGAAACCACCACCCATTACAGCCACAACCCAGTTCCAATATAACATTCTTAAAGGAATAACTCTCTAATTTTCTAATTAAACCAAGACAAGAAAATAACAAATATATACAACTCAGACTAAACTTCATAGAATTGGAGAGAAATTAAAATCATCATGATAAGAAAGAAAAAAAAACACAATAATAGATAATTAAGGGAGAATAATATCACTCCATCAAATGCAGCAGCAGACTCACGGTTTCTTAAACCTTGGGTGGGGGCCCATATGGCTCACAATTATATACATATCAACGCACTCTCTCAAGTTGGGTTGTATATATCATACATCCTAAACTTGTTGCTGAGATCGCTAAAATGATGTCGAGGAAGAGACTTGGTAAGAATTTCAGCAATCTGATACTGAGTTGGGATATAGCTTAGCTGAACAACCCCTACATTGACCTTCTCAGAGATGAAATGTCTGTAAATCTTTATATTTTTGGTTTGATCACAGTGCCCCAGATTTTTTAAAATATTGATGGTTGATTGATTATTACTGAACATCTAATAGTTTTTTTGTTCTCCATGTGTAGTTCCACCATTAATTTTTTTAGCCATATTCCTTCATAAATTCCTAAGATCAGGGCATGATATTCGAATTCTGCACTACTTCTTGCCACTGCGACTTGCTTTTTACTTCTCCAAGTAACCAGGTTATTCCATCAAAATGACAATAACCCTTAGTAGGTCTTATGTCAGTCAGTTCTCCTTCCCAATTAGTATCAATGTAGATCTCAATGTTATGGTTCTCCATTTTCTTGAATATCAATCCACTTCCTAGAATCATCTTTAGGTTTCTCAGGATTCAAAAAACCACTTCTAAATAATCTTAATTTGAATCATTCATATCTTTGCTCACTATCAGGTCTTGTATGTGAAAGATAAATAAGTTTCCCCACAAGTCATTGATACCTCCCCTTTTCAATTGGGGTGTTACATTTTCATTTTGATGCCTGTCAATTTGGATCCCAATCCATAAGAGTATTTGTTTGTTTTTACCCAAACATTCATGTCTCCCTTAATAAGTCAAGGATATATTTTCTATGAGGTATGATTGTCTACTTTCAATCTAGTTGCTTCCATTCCTAGGAAGTATCTTAAAGATCCAAGATCTTTGATCTTCAACTTAGAAGTTATTAGTTTTTCATTGTTTCAAATTACCTTACATATAAATGTCATCTACATATATAATGAGGATGACAATTGTACCTTCTTGATTTAATTTCACAAGCAAAGTGTGATTATGCTTTCTCAATTTGGTTTCACAAACAAACTATGATCATCCTGGCACTGATAGTATCAATTGACAAGAATAGCTATGGTGAGCCATTAAACCATATCTCTGGGAAATTATTTCAACACCTACAATAATTTATTTAGTTTGCACATCAATTAATTATTTGTGTTGTTCTTTAATCTTGGTGGTATCTCCATTTACACTTCTCCCACAAGATCCTCATTAAGAAATTTATTTTTAATGTCTACCTGATTTAAAGGCCAATTTTGATTGACACCGAATGATAATAATACTCTTACTATGTTGAATTTTTCCACTGATGCAAATGTCTTTTGAAAGTTGATCTCATAAAACTGAGTGAATCCTTTCACTACAAGTCTAGCCTTTAACATATATGCTCCCATATGCTTTATTTTTTATAGTAAATACCCATCTGCACTATTAAGTTCTTTTAACAGTTGGCAGAGTCGTTATGATTAAGGCACCATTCTTCTCAAAGAAAAGAATATGTTCTTCCATAGCCTTTTTTCAAGCAATAATAGATAAAACCTCTTAAATTAAATTTAGAACACACAAATTATTCAATTTTTGAACAAAAGATTGTAGGAGGATGATAATTTTCAATCCTTGAGCCTTTTTATGCTTCAATCTGCTTTAGTTGACAAGTTTCTTCTTCCATAACTTTTAGTCCTTATGATATATTGATCCAACCTTTGTCTGAGTAATTGGGGTGTATGGAGTTGGTTTTGGTGATTTGCATTCTTGATTCTATATATTTTCCCTTACATGGTCACTAGGTATTTCTTTCTAGAGTACACACGGAGTACTTGATTCTTAGTGGGAGCAGTGAGAGGATTTAGTGTGGCGGGTTCATTTTCAAATTGATTTGTAATAGTGGGACAAGAGTGGATTTAGTGTGGCGGGTTCATTTTCAAATTGATTTGTGATAGTGGGACAAGAGTGGGTTCATCAAGGATATGAAAGAGGTGAGCTTGAGGTTCCTAAATGGTACCCCAAATTTGATATTCTCTTCAAATTTCGTTTAAAATGTTAGATTTAGAGTAATATGATTAGTTTTCATAGGTGACATCCACGGAGTTGTAAAATTTTTATGATAATGGAGAGTAATATTTATGGCCCTCTTTGTTTGAAGAGTAGCCCACAAAGTTGTATTTGATTGACCTAGGATCAAGTTAGGTTTAGTGTGGTTGATGTAGATAGAACATAGGCAATGCAAATTTTTAGGAGTAGGTTAGAGGTGAAGGACTGAATGTGAGAGTATGGTTTTATGAGGGTTTTGACAGGTTTATTAAAGTTTAGTATTTTGTTAGTATCGTATTTATGAGATAAGTGGATCTTAGAATTATATTCACCCGTAAGTGTTTGGATACATTGTTAGTGAATATAATTGAATGGGCCACCTCGATGAGACATTTGTTTTTTCTCTTGGCCACACCATTTTGTTGGGGTGTGTTAACACAATAACTTATATGAATGTTGTCGTTTTTGGATAGACAAGGACCATAGTTAAGTCATAATATTCTTTTGCATTATTAGTTTTGAGAATCTAAATTTTACTCTAAAATTGATGAGGATTATATTGTGGAAGGTTTCAATATGCTGGAAGTTTTAGAATTTTTTTTCATAAGAAAGGTCCAAGCGGATCTGGTGTGATCATCAATGAAGGTGGCAAATCACCTAGCCCCTTGTATTTTTCATTTTTGAGGGCCCCTAAATATCACTGTGAACCATAGAGAATGAATATGTTAGCTTGTATTTCAGGCTTGGGTACACTTGTCAAGTAGGTTTAATAGGTTTGTAAGTTTCACACTGATAAAAAAAAGGCTTTTGGTTGATAAACAAAAAATTATATAATTTTTCAATATAATAGAAATTAGGATGTTAATGATGAAAATATCACAACATAACTTGACTCTCGTGAAATATACTCAGATACAAGACTTGACTCGAAGGACTGTGAATGATCGGGATGATCCTTTTGAAGTGGGAATCATAGTAAGTAGATAAAATCCATAATACATGTCAATACAAATAAATCACTTTCCCAGAGTCTATCACATGAAATTCACACAAATTAAGGTAAAATTTAGTAATGCAATTCATGTCATGAGTAAGTTTACTGATAGATAGTAAATTAAATTTAAGTTTAGGAACATAAAACATAGATTAAAGAATAAGATTCTTTATGAGTTTCACACTTCCTCTTCTTTCCACAGATGAGAGAGTCATATGCGGTTCTAACTACAGTATGGTGTTTTCAAGAATGGAAAGGTTGAAAATCAATGAAATCACCTGACATGTGATCAAATGCTTTAGAGTCCACGATCCAAGGATGATTATTTTTGTTGAGAGCAACAAGAGCAAATAGAAGACTACATTGATGTGGTAGAAAGCTCAAAATATTGTCCCAAAAGTCTTTTGAGAGCTTCAAGTTGTTCCATGCTGAATGAACTATATTCATGAGGCTTGTCTTCCTTTGATGTTGTGTTTACTTGATTTTGCCCATTACATTTGAATTTATTGAGCTTACGCTTTCCATAAATTTTCTAATAGTTCTCCTTCAGATGACCAGCTTCTTGCAATGTTCACACCACGGAATGTTCATCTTTGATTTGTTGTCCTGAGATGATTTGTGAGTGTATAAAGTTGAGTTGTCAAAACTTAATATATATGGTGGGATTATGTGACATCGTGAGTTTCTTTCTGTTTTCTTCCTTTTGTACTTCAATAAACGCTTCACAAATTAAGAAAAGTGTTTGGTTCCCATGATTCTTCATTTTACTTCATCTAGTTCCATGTTGAGTTTTAAGAGGAACATGAAGTTTCTCTTCTATTCAAAATTGGTTTTGTAAAGAGTAGACTTATGAGCACCTTTATATGTAAGTTTCACAAATATCGAGTTGGAGCTAATATCTAAAGAGAGTGTTGAAGTATTGAGTACCAGTCAACTCAGCTTGCCACAAGTCGTATAATCTAGTTTCAATGTCAAACAACTTAGAAGTGTTGTCAACACTTGAATAAGTCTCCCTTGCGGCATCTCAAATTTCTTTTGTTGTTTTGGTATCAAAGAGAATCCATGTAAAGTTTAGGAGAAAACTTTTAAGAGAATAAACTCTACAAGAAAATAAAAAATATATATAACTCAGACTAACTCTCATAAAATTGGATGAAAATTCAAATCAACATGATAAGAAGGAAATAAAAACGTAATAATGGATAGCTAAGGGAAAATAATTTCTCCCTCTCAAATGTCATAGCGGACCCATGACTTTGTGAATCGTGGGTGGACCCATGTGGTCCACGGTTATATGCATAGCAACAATTTTGAATGGAGTACAATCCCTTATTGTTGTGTCTCCTAAGAATGGCCTGATTTGAGCTCTGTTCCTTTATTTGAATACCAACAACATCAAAGTGAATTGAACAGTTATTGTCATGGGTGAGGTTATGAACTAAGAAAAGATTATGTGATAGTTAAGGGACTTGATGTAGAGTGGATAAAATAGGCTGATTGGTGATATGGGGATTATTCCACTGTCAGTGTGAGAGTTTGGTAGAGAATTGCCATCACCAATGGCAACTTGCTCAGATCCTGTGTATCCAGTAGGTTGCTGATGTTGTGAATGCAGAATGGATAGAGTAAGCTTACGCTTCGATGTAAAGAGTATTTCAATGTCAGTGTGAGAGATTAGTAGAGGATTTCCATCACCAATGGTAACTTGCTCAGATCCTGTGTATTCAGTAGTTTACTGAAGTTCTAAATCGTCGTTGGTAAAATGAGATGATGCAATACTATCCAGAATCCAATCATTGTTAAAGGGAGAAGAATCAACTAGTAGTGTTGTCTTGTTTTTGGATGTTGTTGGAGTGTAGGACAGTTGGCCCTATGCCAACATATGTAAGCCGAATGACATTTCTTGCCATAAATTTGACAGGTAATTGATGTTTTGGTTAATTGTTGTTGTTGTATGCTTTTGGTATTGTTTTAAGGGTGTATGGTTAGAGAATTGTTCCTGCCACGTCCCTGTTGGTTGGCCTGAAATTTCGGCCACTGAAGGACAGAAGAGCCATGGATTATAGTGTTGGTTGTTTAGCATTTTCTTCTTGAATATTGATCTCCTCACTGCAGAGGTGTGAGTACCGTTCATTTAGGTAAATAGGATCTGACCTTGTGCTGATTACAGTCTTGAATGATTGATATGTGGTTGGTAGACCTTTGAAGGTGTAGAGTATAATATACTCCATGTCTAGCTTATACCCAGCAGCTGCTAACCGGTCTACTATGGATTCGACGTGGGCTGGGTATTAAGGCATAATTTCATTCTTCATAATGGCATGGTGTTCATTTTTCAGTTGAATTTAATTTGGATCGATTTGTGGATTATAGACGTGAGGAGAGAGTTCTTCATATGGCTGTTGAATCTAGGAAGAGAAAATGAGGTACTATAGTATGAGAGATAGCGGAGTATAATGTTGCAGACATATTTTAAGATATATAAGTTTCCATAGGGTGTAATCTGAATTGAGGGGAAGGAGTGGTGTTGTTGTTAATGAATTGAAGAGATTATAAGGAATTTCTATTCAAGATGCCTTCAAAACCATTTGCAGTGAATAACTTCAGGATTTGAGAACTCCAAATAGGGCAATTATCAGATGCTAGAGCTGTATTGGCAAGTGGTTTGACATTGGTGATCAGAAATTTTAGTTATGGTGGGATAGCAGTGGCTGTAGTAATTCACCTTGTGAAGAAATGGAAAATTAAAATAAATTAGTTTCTAAAGCTACCTAAATTCTTTAGCCTCAATTCCAAAATTTTAAATGATTTATGATTTGATTGTACGCTTTTGCATTGTCATAAGATCAGCACTTCTAACAGATACTTTACAGGTAAATACATTGGATAACATTCCTCGCATTCTAAGCTCAATTAATGAATGTTTAATTCAAAGAACATACTTATTAAAAGGTGTCTCCAAAACAAGGCCATCATAAAATGAAAAGGAACATGCTTCACTTCAAGTCTCCAGAAGAGTATTATGTGCAGCCACGCGACATTCTTACGAAGATATATGGGTATCAACCCAGCTTTTCCCTGGTTCCTTTGATAATCCTTGACTTTTCACCTTATCTCGAATGAAAGTTTTACCATCCCAAATACCCGTAAAAGTATCTATAGTAGAAAAAGTAATGTAAGGTGAAGCATCTTCTGGTTTCATTTCTAAAATCCTTTTTGCAATACACTTAACTAGTTCTGCATCACCGTGGACTTTACATGAAGCAAGCAAAGTTTCCCAAACAATGTTGTCTGGCTCAACTGGCATGGCATAAATGAAGTCCAAAGCCTCACTAAGCTTATTAGAACGGCCAAGGAGATCAACCATGCAACCATAATGTTCCATCCTGTGCTCCAATCCATAATGTTCAGTCATCATATTGAAGTACTCCCAACCCGCAGCAACCAGCCCGACTCGGCTAAAAGAGGCAAGAATACCGATGAAAGTGAATTCGTCGGGCTTAATGCCTGACTTCTGCATCTCACTGAACAAATATAAAGCCTTTTTCACAAAACCATGCTGTGAAAATCCCATGATCATTGCATTCCAAGAGACAATATCTCTTTCATTCAAGTAATTAAAGAATGTAAATGCAGAGTTTATGCTTCCACACTTAGCATACATGGTTATAAGAGAGTTTGCAACAAATAGGCTAGCATCCAACCCCATTTTTACAATCCTTCCATGTAACTGTTCTCCTGAAGGAAGGCTTGACAATGTAGAACAAGCACGGATTGCACTGGTGATGCAAAATATTGGTGGGCTTTGCCCTTCGCGCAGTATATGAAGGAACAATAAGAATGTTTCTCTTCCAAGTTCATTTTGACTATAGCAAGTCATCATTGCAGTCCATGAAATAACATCCCTAAAATTCATTAACTGAAACAGTTTCTCAGCCATTTTAGTTTCCCTGCATCTTCCATAGAGCGTTATAAGTGAATTGCCAACTGAAACATCTGAAAAGAAATTATTTCTAATGACATAAGCATGAACTTCTTTACCCTTGCCGATATCCTCCAAGGCTGACAAAACCCCTATCATGCATGTAACAACAAATGGATCAATTTCCATCTTTTCTTCTATCATTTTCTTGAACAATAATATTGCATTTTTATAGTAAGCATTCTGCATGTAAGCCACCAGCAGTGAAGTCCGCGAGACAGCATCATGATCAATCCTGTCAAAGACTATAACTGCTTCTCTCATCTCTCCACATCTTCCATACATTGCAATAAGTGCTGACCCCAAAGGAGTATCTAATTCAATATCAAGCTTAATCATGCATCCATGCACTTGGGTTGCTTGTCTAAGCTTGTCAGGCTCATCAAAAACCTTGAAGACACTCACAAACGTCATCCCTACGGGCCAAATTCCACCAGAAATCATCTCCCTGAATAGCCTAAAGACCGACACTGGACATTCATGTGGGTAGCAATTTGCCAAGCAGGTGAACATGGTAGTCCAAGTCACCACATCTTTCTCTGCAGTCTCATAGAAAATTCTCCACGACTCCTCTACTTTACCACACCTCGCATACATATCAATCATGGTGCCAGCTACAAATGTATGTTGGGTAAAGCCGATTTTGAGAGCGCTGCCATGAATTTGAATCCCAGTTTGTAAATCTCTTCCATGAGTACAACCAGTAAAAATGCTACCAAACACAAAGTTGTTAGGTGAAATCCTCAAGCTCAGCATTCTCCCAAAAAGTAGAATTATATCTTTGATCCTGCACATATGAGAGTAAGTCGAGTTCATTATGGACCAAGTGACGGCATTTGGGTGGGGTATTTCGTTGAATAGTTGGTGTGCATATGTGACAGAACTTGACCCATATGCATGAAGGATATTGTTTGAGAGGAAAATAGAAGAATGGATGCAGCCGAGTTTGAAGGCGACGCAGTGAACTGCCCTGGGATCGGCTGCTTGGCTTCCTTTAAGGAAAGAGGAGAGCTTGTCGGGAAGAATAAAAGGGTAAGAGGATTGCATTGGAATGGGAAAAGGGGGATTTTTTGGGTGGTCTTGTTCATGGCTTGGTTGCGTCTAGGGTTTGGAACGATGGGTCTGCGTAAGCTTTGAGATTGAAAAGGGTATTACTGCTAGAGACAGGAGTGCGAAGAAACTCGATGCTTGGAAGTTCTACTAGAGTTTTCTCTCCTCTCCTCTCCTTCCCGCGCCACCTTTTTCAAAACCCTAATTTTTTTTAGTCCCATGAGTGCGGCTCAAGAAGTCTATAAACGACGGAAAGAGTTTTCTCTCCTCTCCTCTCCTTCCCGCGCCACTTTTTTCAAAACCCTAATTTTTTTTAGTCCCGTGAGTGCGGCTCAAGAAGTCTATAAACGACGGAACCCTGGCGCTACGTGCTCGGCAAACAACCGTTCTATCATAATTTGTTATGACAATATTTCTAAGATCTCAAAATTAAGGGCCGTTTGGGCGGGCTTATTGGGGAGTGCAGCGGCGATTTGAGAGCGCCGCCACAATGTTTGGAAAAAGGCGTTCGTTGAGCGTTTTCGTGCCGCCACCATCTGTGCGTCGTAAATTTCTTATTAGGCACGACCACGAGATTGAATTTGAGAGCGCCGCCACAATGTTTGGAAAAGGCGTTCGTTGAGCGTTTTTGTGCCGCCACCATTCGTGCGTTGTAAATTTCTTATTAGGCACGACCACGAGATTGGTCCCGCGTCCTTCGTCCGCGACTCGCGTTAGGGTAAGAAATTCCTCATGTGCCCTTCTCGTCTCTGCTCTCCCTCGCCCCCTCCCTCTCTGATCTTTCTGCTCTTCACCCTCGTCGTGATCGTTACCGCGTCAAAGGAGGTATTTCCTGTTACCTAGCTGCGATATGGTTTCCTATTACCATTCTCTACGCTGATTCGTTTCTGGAGGTGGCGTTGGAAGGAATGATTTTTCTTTTTCCCTTTCTCTATTACCATTCTCTGCGATTTCTGTTGTGTTTCATTATTTGGCACGGGAATGTTGGTTTAGGAGCCATTCGCGTCGCCATAGTTCAAATATTAGAAAATTTGGGTCGAAATTGTTGTTATAAGTATTGTCAGGCGAATTTTTGCTATTGTTCTGGAGGAGGTGGAATGGTGGTATACCAACTGATGAAAGTGACAAATTTTAACATTGTTGTATTCATTTTGAAAATGTGGTTATGAGCATTTTCGATTGTTATGGTTGCCGAGAGAACTGGAAAGCATAAGTCTTCCTCTTTCATTTCTTGCTTAAAAATTTGGGTTGAAAGTGTTGATGTGTCCTCCTCTTTCATTTCTTGCTTATAATTTATCCCCTCTACATGTTCTGCCAATGGCATCTAAGCAAGTGAGAACTGTTGAATGAAATACAGTTGTCACACTCTATATGTTAGCCCTGTTTTTGCTGTATTTGTGGGAGCTATTTTTATATGTTCAGATGTGTTTACCTACTTAAAGATAAAAGGTGGATCTGGCTCCATTGGCATATGAAATATCTTACATTGGAAAGGCATAATATGGGGTTCGAATGGAATGGTTGCTCTGGCTCCATTGGCATCTGTTGAGGGTGGGTGCAGTTTTATCTTTTATGAAGGTAATACTTATACAAAGTGATTAAAATGGAAGGAATGAAAGATGAAAAGTGCCACAACAGGAGAGAGAGCTGCATGTATGTAGATCATTTTTCTTGTAATGTGTGTGTGTGTGTGTTCATAATATTTGCTCATTTAGCATGTTCTATACATGAGTATTATGCACAAGAAGGTGGTAGGCTCACATGACATATTTCTGTAAACGTTTGCTCTACAAATAGAAGAATATGGCTATGCACATCGAAGATCAAATCCTTTATTATCAATTCTATATCCTAGTTGGCTTCCATCTTATTTGTATACTTAGCTGATTTGTATACCACATGATTTGTATGCAAAGCTTAATAAGTTGCAATTAACATTGGTGCTCTTTTGCCCCAAAAATGATCAAACTAGCATTTATGTATTAAGAGATCTATTAATTAGAACTATTGAGCTCAGGCTAAATTCCACTACCTTTCTTTTGCTCAAGCATTACCATAGTAAAATAAAATAGTTAGCACTAAGTGATTATAAACTTCAGTAAGTTCATTTTCATAGCCTGACATTGCCTTCGAAACAGTGAGTTGATGATCATCTACTCGATGATCATCTCTGTCTCCAGTGGCATCTGTTGAGAATATGTGCATTTGAAAAATTATGTTGTTGGTGATGGTTTTTTCAGTAAAGTACATATATGTGGTTATACAATTGGGGAGTAAAGTACATATATGTGGTTGCTATTGTTCTGCATTAGCTGTTATAGTTGTAAGATATGTGAGATTGTTATTGCTTTGTATTAGCTGTTGTAGTTTCATTTTTGCTAAAACCAAATTTTTGCTATTGTTTTGTATTAGTTGCTGTAGTTTCATTTTTGTTATTGCTCTGTATTAGCTGCTGTAGTTTCATTTTTGCTAAAACCAAATTTTTGCTATTGTTTTGTATTAGTTGCTGTAGTTTCATTTTTGTTATTGCTCTGTATTAGCTGCTGTAGTTTCATTTTTGCTAAAACCAAATTTTTGCTATTGTTTTGTATTAGTTGCTGTAGTTTCATTTTTGTTATTGCTCTGTATTAGCTGCTGTAGTTTCATTTTTGCTAAAACCAAATTTTTGCTATTGTTTTGTATTAGTTGCTGTAGTTTCATTTTTGTTATTGCTCTGTATTAGCTGCTGTAGTTTCATTTTTGCTAAAACCAAATTTTTGCTATTGTTTTGTATTAGTTGCTGTAGTTTCATTTTTGTTATTGCTCTGTATTAGCTGCTGTAGTTTCATTTTTGCTAAAACCAAATTTTTGCTATTGTTTTGTATTAGTTGCTGTAGTTTCATTTTTGTTATTGCTCTGTATTAGCTGCTGTAGTTTCATTTTTGCTAAAACCAAATTTTTGCTATTGTTCTGTATTAGTTGCTACAATTTCATTGAGATTGTTGTGGTTGCTGTTGGAAAGAGAAACAACACTAGGTTTTCTGTCACATTGCATTGAGATTGCTGCGGTTATGTGTTTAACTTCATTTATATATGGTTTTACTGTTCATTTGTAAAAGAGCTGGACACATACATTATGGAGATCTTTTTCAAGTTATGTGCTTTTATTTCTAAGATTTTAGTGACAAACAAAGTTGTTTTGTGTTATTGCAGACTACCGGCTCCGTTACTCACGTCATGTTAGCCTCACAGCAGTGAGAGACAATTCTACGGTTGCCACAAGGGTGTTTTAGCTCGTTACGGTTTCTTTTAATGGACCAACAGTCCAACATGTTACACTGTCAGCAGTGATGGGAATCCGATGATTTTCCAAGTTGATAGTGCAGTTGAAGACAGACGTAGTCGGAGTTTAAAATTGAATATTTTAATATTTCTCATTTTAATTGTACTTGTTTTTATGATTTTTTTTATTTCTTCTGATACTCACGAGAATGCGAGCACTGTACGTCATCTTATAAACTGATATGTGATGATTTCAGGATTCTGTATTATTACTTCTTTGCTTATTTTAGTTCTGTTGCAAACAGTTTTACCAAACAGGGGCATGAAAGTCATTTATCCAGCAACATCTATTAGTAAGCTATTCTACATAAGCTCCCCCAAAAAACAAGCCAGCTTATTCTGATAATATGCAGATTATCAGATTATCAGATTATCAGAATAATCTGCTTATCACCAGATTATAATAAATCAACAGCTACCCCAAACAAACCCAAAATTATGCAGTCGATCTAATTATTTTTACAGAAGTGTTGTTCTTTTCAACTTTTATGTTGAAGATCTTAACATGATTTTGGAAGGAGGTTCTTATTTCCATAATGACAATCCACTTATTTAAAAAAAAAATGAACTACTTCATTTCAACTTATTAAAGGTGATTTCAAAGAAAGCACTATCTTAATTAATTTTCCAAACTTGCCTCTTTGTCTTGGTCTGAAAATGTAATTACAAAGATAGTGAGCAAAGTAGGCATACCATTGCCAAAGTGTCCAGATACACATCAAATTTATTTTATATTATTCCTTAACTAGTTCTCACAATGATAAGGATATCAAACAACATGCTCTTTATGAATAAAAATAAGATTCTTGTAACACATGCAATACATTTGCTCATAACAATGTTGCCTGTCCTAATTTTCCTAATTTTTATCATGCTCCTATTCTTCCTCTCAATAGAATCAAAAGCCGCTTTAGGAAGGCATCTGCAGCCCTCGCTTCTCAAAGTCGTAGCAACCTTCAAGCTAAACATCCAATTCTCAACCCTATAAACGCCCTAATCAATCCCTCACCCACCCATGTCAATTTACCTCTGCCCTATTGTAACATCAATCAAATACGTCTCTTAGTTTATCCCCCCTTAAGCTCTCTCCCTACTCTTCCTCTCACCCCCTTATTAAAGCTATGAAAGGTAGACAAAGGGGCAGCACTCACTCTACTAAGACCTAATGCTCTCTATATTTAACCCCAAAATTGTTGTTTGGAACATTTGAGGATTCAGTAGTGACATTAGGATCAATGATTATCATATGTTTGCTAGAGAAAAAAATTACCATTATTTTGTTTGTTGAAAACAACATTATCCCCCTCCTGTCTCTCAGATCCTTTCTCTTACAGTCACTATTTTATTTTACCTAATGAACATTTTGTTCATAACTTCAAACTTATCATAAGGGGCATATTTGAGTTGAATGGAACCCGATTGAAGTTAGTTTTAATGTTTTAGGTTTCAGACCCAATATGTTCATTGATCTATTTCCTTACCTTCTTCAAATTTTCTTATTATATTTGTTTATTTTGAAAATTGTGCTACTAGATGGAAAATTTTATGGCAAGACCTTTTTTCTCAAGAAATTTCTATTATTTTCCCCTTTGCTAGTGGTTGGAGGCTTCAATTGCATTATGAATAATAGATATAGGGTGGCCTCCCTTCTATTGCTAGTAACATGGTTGATTTTAGCAATTGTATTACTAAAGTTGGTCTTGTGGAGCTTTCCAATCATGGTCATGCTTTCTGCTAATTTAATAAATAAGTTAGAATCCTATGTGTTGCCTTTTAGACATGGGTTTATAGATAATATTTGATTTTCCTCTTTTCAATTCTCTAGTTATAAAAGTATGAAGCTCTCACTTCTGATCATTTACCTGTTCTTCTCTCTTTGAGTATAGATTTTACTCATAAGTGTAGATTTCAATATAAGAACTA